TAAATCTAGAGCATGTCATCCATTGAATATCGGGAGCATATCATTGCTTTTTTTTCCCTTCTTCTTTAATTTAAGGTATATCATCCATTTAAAATCTAGAGCATGCTCATTGCCTTAAAGATCGAGCATGCTCTTAAAGGCCAATGAAAATGTAAAGAGACATGCATTGGCTTGTTTCTTTTTTAAAGAAAAATCTAGAGACGACATGCTGAAATTTTCTTTTTATATATTGTTGCGGGTTGAATGAGATGAGATTCGACAAGCAACAAAAGATTGGGCCTAGACCAATCTTTGAGAAAGCCCAATTGTACAAAATGGCGAAGCAAGGACCAAAGGGCCCGAATCATGTGGGCCGACCATGGTTTGGTCCCGACCCCTGCTCGGTACTGAGCAGTTCTGGGCCAAATGGCCGAGAACCTTCTTCAGTCCTTTTCAGTCATGTGAAGTGGCCCAGTCTAAGGATTCCCACAACTCCATCAACCATAGGCTGGACAAGCCTAACGTGGAAGATCTTCAAGAAGATCTTAATGGAAAACTCCTATAAATAGGACAACAAGCTAAATCGTAGAGGTACGCTCAAAATACCTTCGACATCTTATATACGACTCCTTTGATTCTAACTTAGGCAAGCGGATCCCATATTCAAACATTTGGGTGTAAAAACTGATACAGTCCTACAAGAGGTTTGTCGATGGTTTCTCCCTCCATATAGGTATCCTTAGTTCAATGTCCTTGGGTATTGAATAATTATACCTAAGAATTTCCAAAAGCTCTGCAGGAACAATCTGAGCAATGGAAATTAGAATTGTCTTCGCTAATTTTGGAGGAGCGGGAATGTTTGCGACTACGTCTACGGGATGAAACCTTAGAGGTACTTTGGGAAAGACCTTGGGAGGTGGAAGGCCTATGCGAGCTAGGGACGAAGGACTTAGTCCTAACCATTAATCGACCAAAGGTACAAAAAGCTTAAAGAAATTCGACTTAGTTAGGGTTAGGAGGTTACATAGAAGATGGAGGTGCAGGCAGAAATGAAAGGATCTCCTCTCCGACGCTCAAAGCAAACAACTGAAAGGGAGGTACCCTGCCCTAAACAACTAATTTCAGAGAGTAAACAGAGGGAGAAACGGAAATTGAATTCAAGTGTATGCGATCGGGTTTTAATACCTAACGACTAGTGACCCAAGTTTGGAAAGGGGAAAATCCCCGATGACGCGGGTCGAGGATCCGAGTTTGTCTCATAAGCAACTTCAGGAAAATCAAATAAAAATCTTTTGAATATTTTTGAAGTTGGGGGCTAGTGATTAAGCTGGTAGTTTGGTCGTATCCACGTCATCCCAAATTTACTTGAAGGCCCACACGTGCGGGCTCCGTGTTAGCATGGATAAGTTCGGGAGATGCCAAACTCGTCACTAGCTGGCAGAACTCGTCCCCAACGTTTGAATCTCAAACTAAATGATCGCATTCTCGTCCCCCGCATGTACCATTTGCCTAGGAATCCGAGTGTAGTTGTGGGCTTGACTTCAAGCCTCTTACACACCAACGGTCATCGATCAAAAGGTACTATAAATACTTGTAAGAAAAGAGATCAAGGGTACGTGAAATATGAAGTCTTGGAGTGTTCTTGAAGACCTCATCGTGAACCGTCTTGGAAGTGAAGATGAATTGAATTTTTTTAATTAAAACTTTTGTTTAGAATAAGAATATTTTGGATCCCGTTTGGTAACTTCTCGTTTCTCTCTTTTTTGTTTCCGTTTCCTATTTTTTGTTTCTAATTTTTTTAAGGACTAAAAATAAGAATACGCTTAAGTCATTTTTGTTTCTTGCTTCTTTCAAAAAAATAAATAGAAATAAAAATATGTTTGATTATTATTTCCTCTTTCTTGTTTTTATTTTTAGTCTCTTAAGTAGTACAACTTGTAAGGTAGAGATTCAAACCGCGACCAGTTGTCAATGATATATGCCTTATTTTTATTTTTAGAATATAAAATTGAGTGGATGTAATATATGTTCGAAAAATATAATTCATTTAAGAAAATATAATTTACAATATAAATTTATTTGATATAAAAGTATAAATTATTACCTCTTTGAATAAAGACTAAATTTTCAAAATATCTTTAACTTAAAAAATCCAAAAAATCTCGATAGTAGTTCCATGAACAATCCTTTGAGGTATTTTAATTTTTTTTATAGTGGAAATGCCATAAAGCGCAAACCTGCTCATGAGTTAGCGATCAAGCGGAAAAGGACCTGTTGGTTTCGTCTTTGTGGAGTAAAGTAGCCCAATCAGTTGCATATGGGTCAGCATGATTGTAGCAATACAAATAGGTGCAGTAGACGAAGGAGTTGTTTTCAACAAATTGGTTATATTGAAAACGTAGGAAACATCAGGAAAGCAACAAGGATTTTTGGGTTTTAACCCTAGGACACAGTCTTTTTGCATAAAAAGAAAACAATCCAATTATGAGTTGTGAAGCAATAAAAGTATGCCGATAAATGGAAGGGTGAAAGAAAGAGTGATGGCCAGTAGCGGGGCATTCGATATAGCAGCTCACGGAACCCTCACCCTTAATCCATTAACGAAAAAGGAAAAATAAAAAAGATAAGGCCATTCCATTTCGACAAAGGACCCACACCCAAATTCCATAGCTTTGGGTCTCCCGAACCGTGCGAAATGATCACCTATTACAGGCACAAGACCTTTGAATGCAAACAAAGAATAATAGCGAGATCCCCCGACCGCCCGGATCGCACGAGTGAATATAAAGTTGGATCTACATTGAATCTCACCTGAATCGTCCCCTATATCCTCCTGAGGAGAAGTTTGGTTTAAAACCCCGATCCTAACAGAGAAATATATTTTTTGTTTAAAAAAATATAAAAGCTTAAATAAAAAATATAAAAACGTAATGTTTAGCATGAGACTTGAAACTGAGCGGCCAAGAGAAAAATGGAATATATCCTTGCACCATCAAACCAAATACCCATCCTATACTTGGAAAAAAAAACTACATTTTATAGTTTCAAAAATTTGATCCATTATTTTGAAAATGTTTCTCACCAATGGAATGAGTTGCGTATCAAACAAGTTTGTTTTCTAAAAAGGAAAAACGAAAACAAGAAATAGAAAATATAAAATATGAAGGAGTTACCAAGCATGCCATCAGGAGGTTCACTTCTCTCTCGGATACTTTTGTCCTTGGTAACCTTTCGAAAACTTAACTATATACGAATATTTCACTTAAACAATTCAACCTTGGAGATCTCTTTAAGAATTAACTTTTCACTTACAAGGTATTTAAGAAATTTTATACAACTACTTTCATGGTAGTAAATGAGATGGTAGGAATTCATATGTATTTTGAGTTTAGTGGACAAAATTAGAAGAATAAGTTGAGTATAGTACCAAAATAAAAACTAATGTAGATAGCAAAAAATGAAAGTTTTTGAAAGTTTAGACACGAAAAGAAATACTGTGCTGATGAGAGATAAAAATATTATCTATATTCTAAATTAACGACATACATAATAGCCAAATGCTGACACACACATATATATATTTTGTCACATAATTAATCCTATTGGCTATCAGTACTTTTTATAGTACATAGTATAGTATAGAGCAGCAATAGCATAGCATAGCATAGGGGAAATTCATAGTTGTCCACTGGCGGCGGCGGCGGCGGCGCATGCATGTATTTCAGGGCATGTACAGCTTGTTCCTGCATTTGCATCTCCAGGCTTCGGGGTAGTAGTCCGCAGTCACCGGAGTTCCCGGCGGCACCGGCACCGCCACATGAACCGGCTTGCACGGCGTGCAATTCCCGCACTTTGACGCGCACCGCGGCGGCGACGATCCAGGCCCACCCTGACCCAGCCCTCTTCTTCCGGCGACTGCCACCTGCATCCCAAATTTAACCAATTTCATTTCCTAACAACAACTGTATATATATTTATTATTAATTTTATTTCTAATGTGTGAGCTGGCAGCAAGACATAAAATGCTTAGATTCGATGTTCCCGACAAAAGGATTTGGATATGGTCCAAGAGGATTTTTGGAGTTGCTTATGTAAGTGGAGGGTCAGTGTCTCACTGCCAGCTTAAGGTCCAAATTGGTGGATGTCCATGTATTAATAGAGGTGATAAATGGATGGCGTCGTTGTATATATGTTTTCTGATGGGAGATGTTTTGATGGGCAAATTTTGGAAATATGAGCTGTAGTTGTTAATACAACGGTATCCCAACGTCCTCTCAAGTATCTCCTATCATGATATGGAATTATTGTTCTCTTTGAGCATAACTTTCATAACTTTAAGTATCTCCTATCATGATATGAAATTGTTCTCTTTGAGCATAATTTTCATAACTTTACTTTTGGTTCATCCAAAAAGTATTGTATACTATAGATCATTTTCTTTCTTTAGTCAATGTCGGAACTTTTTTTGCACTCCTTAGATTTGTAGCTACTTGCACTGACATTTGTAATTATGAATGATTTATGAATGATGTAGTCAGTGTATATATAGATATGTATAGTATGATTGACTCCAATTAAACACCTATTATAGTGCATAAATACAAAACAAGTATAGGAATAGGACTGATGGAAGTAAATTACCTGGAGATTATTTGTCTGGAACAAGCTGCGGGTGGTAGTGGTATCTGAGGAAGAAGAAGGGATATATGGATGAGGAGAGATTATAAAATTTATAAAAATGGTAGACAGATAAAAAATGAGGATCTCATCACCTGGACCAGTACAAGATGTGTTGCTGCTGCTGCATAAGAACAATAGTAATAACAATGATATGTAAAGGAGGTGGAAGAATAAAAATATGATTTTGCTCGCACTCACTGATCTGTTTCTTCTATTCAACTCCATCAACACCTACCCAATTATATGTGAAGGATAATGATAGCTTGTGTGTGGTTAATCAAAGATCGATGGGATTGTAAATGCAGAGGGAGACCAAGAGAGAGAGAAAAATAAAAGGAGAATCGTCTGAGGAGGTGAATATTTGGGTTCTTTCTTTAATAATTGAATCTGCAGGGGGTGGGTTTTGGCGTCTGATCCTTGTTTCAATGTTTTCCAAATGGAGAAATACAAAAACAACTGAAGATCGATCTGTTAGTAAGGAGTTGAGAAATCAGAGATGTGTGGTACCTCCTCAGATCCTGCTCCACTTCCAATCACCTTACGCTCACTCTTCCTTTTATCATTTTGATGTTAGGACGCGTATCACAACTAACCAAGTATCTTCACTGATATCGTTTACTTTGGGTATAACTCTTTATATATATATATATATATATATATATCAAATATCACGTTCTTCAACGACCAATGTAAGATTTTATTTGCACAGGTTAATGACCCAACATTTAAATTCCATCCTCTTACCATTTCTTCTAATTAATTAATCGTAATTTGGTTAAAAATCTCGCTTTACTTAATGAGGTTTATAATATAAGTGGAATACTCTCCTTTTATGATCAATTGGTGAACTCCATAAATATTGATATGGTATAGAACTCAAACGTTCAAACGAGCATTTAGTTCAAAAATGGAATCTGGCCAAGACGATGAACCGTCTCATTGATCATGAGATGAAATCCCTAATTTTGTTTTAAATTATATACATATTTTCACAGCAGGGGAAATGATAAGTACTGGCAGAGGGATTAGAAATTCACATGGGGTGCAACTGCAAAATGTCCTCAATCCTTGTTCTTACTGAGACTTACTACACACAAATAGCCTAAAAAAAGAATGTACCAAGAAGGGTTCGGTGATAAAGAAATAGAGATATATTATCAGTCTCTCGATAGAATCTGTTGAGGACAATACAGTAGCGTCCAAGGTTTGCATTAAATATAATGCCCTTTTTTTTTCTCTTTTAACCTCCTCATCCCTCCTTGGACTACACTTCCCCACATTCTCATTCCCTCCCTCTCCCACTCTTACCAACTCCCACCCATCACTTTTTCACTTGCTCTTGCCTCAATAACCCATGCACACAATCACACCATTTTAATTCTATCCATATCGTGTTTATTGTTTTGAATTTTTTATTAAGATCAATATAATTACGTGATAAGGATCCCAAGTTGAAAACAAAAATGATCTCGTAAAGGTTTATGATAGACACAGACCAATTTTCTCATTGTCAATTGGTTTTGCGATGAAATCTCATGAATATTAATATAGTGTCAAGACTCAAAAGCACACATGAACATCCGGTCAAAAAAAAAAAGGGATCTAACCAAAGCTACGATCTTGAGGGGACATGTTAAGGATTCTACATTGAAAAGAAAAAGAATCGACATGAACTATTTCTCTTATTAACCATTAATTATATGATGGAATTCCTGAATATTAATATGAGATTCCTAACCAACGGCCTCTTACAAGAAGTAGAGATGTTTCAACGATTGCTCAGGTACTCCATGGTCAATAGTTTCGAACTTATACTCGTTATATTAAAATGAACATATGATATTGTCTTTCATTATCTTCCCAAGGAAATCTGGTAGTAATGTTAACACCAGTGGTCCCCTAAATGTATGGCAAAATTTGCAAAATGGCAGCTTTATATTAACATGGTCGACCCTGAGTTGGAATTTTTGGTGTACTAAGAATGGTATGAAACGCAGTTTCTGTTTTATGGGGTAATTGATAATGTACATTAATTCTTAGAGGTCAGGTTTTTTTTTAATGGTTTTGTTTGTTTTATGTTTGCAGTATATAATGGTTTGGAAGACAGGAAGGGGGATGTTTCTTGAGCAGTTGGTTTTTACTGGCAGTGGGTGCTGTGGTGGGGGCTTCAATATTTTCCTTTGCCTTTGGTGTTGACAGATGATAAGTTGGAAGGGGAGCCTTCCAATTCATTCATTAAGGGGAATAAAATTCAAAAAAAAAAAAAAAAAAAAAGAGAAAGGAAAAACCTTTGCTTTCTCACTTTCGTTGGCAAGCTTTTGTTTCCATTCAGATTCTTTCTCACAAACCCCACGCCTTAACCTCAAAAATTTTCCTTTTACTTGCTATCATTTCAACTGGATGAAAATTACACTCTAAAGCCTACAATGTCACATGAATATACAATTAGTTGATACAGAAGAGAATCCACACACCATTATCTTTTAACTGTTATATGGGTAGCTTAAAGCCAAGCCTAACGAAGCTATACACCCAGAATGGGCTCGAGTGGAAAGGCCCAGACGCAGAAGCCCAGTCGAGGTGGGAAGACCCGACCCACAGAGGGCAGGCAGCCCGGATCGGCCGAAGCCGAGCAGTCTTCGGCCACCGACTGAGAACTCCGGCGATGGTACTTCGACGATGTGTGAAGATGGGCCCGAACCTATCCCGTCTTGGCAAAACTCTACTACGGGTCCGACCCTTCAATTCAACATTCGCTACACAGCACGGTACTAAACCTAAAGGACTAGGTTTCCTAATGACACAGAGATTAACTCCTATAAATAGGAAGGGAGGTTGGATCCTAAAGGTAACCCTGCTCTTGACGATTATCAACTTTCGACCTATGTGGTAAGTACCACATGAAATTCTTTTTTTTTTAATTGTTGAAGATTGATGTGAATTTGGAGATGTGATATCCAAAATTCTTTGTACGGGTAAATAAATATGCGGAAAACTTTAAGAAACAATCTCTATCTCAATTATTCAACGCGTATGACGATTCAGACTGCATGAAACAAGGTGAGACGGTCAACACAGTGATATATCTCTTGGCTCAGGTCACACCATTTATGAAAGAATTCAAATAAGACCTTTCATATGTTAATTAGCTCAACTATTTTTATGTGAAGATATTTGGTATCGGCTTTTTGCTTTTGGTTTCATTCAAGGGCCTCGTATTGAATGTATAATTATCCTAATCTATGTATCATAGATCTCCTCCTGATAGTAGACTTTTGTTTGACACTCCTAATCATCTCCAGAATATTTAGACGAAAAAAAAAAGAAACTGAACTTCAACGAGTAATTTTTAATTTTTAAAGAGGTTTCGATATTGTTTTAAAAGTCTTTTTAGTATGAGAAAGGTTTATGTATTTTCCCATTGTCTATACTAGCTGGGAGAGGAACTCATTTATAACTTTTTGGAATCTCCCTTCTTTTTGTTATAAAGATACCGAACCATTTCATTTAAAAAGGTATATGATAAATATATATATAAAGATACAAGGGGGAGGCTAGATAAATGCGCTCCAATTAAGAGAAATGGTAGAGATATCGTAATTACAAAAAATGTTGGATTTGGAAGATCAAGATGAAGCTAAAACCTTTATGTCTTCTCAAAGGAGAGAAGATGACTTAAAAGAATCATCAAATAGTCTGTTGTTTCTTTCCATTCAAATTGACTCCAATAAAGAACCATTGCTCTGGAATCTTTTCTTAAGAGTGTATTTTGTCTTCCGATCTTTTTTTGCCCTAACGTTTTTTTGTTTGACTTCCAATTCAAATGATTAGACGTTGTGGACACTTACACTAAAATCATTAATAAATATAATTTGTTATCATCAAAATATATAGTGTATAGTTGAAGAGTTAAATGACTAAAATTCCACGGTCAAAATAAGTGATCTCCTTCTACTAGACTTATGAGACTTATAATGGGAGGCTCGTACAAAACCTCATCTACATTACAGGGCTCACAAACATCTTCATTAATACCAACCATTTCTACATTTTTTCTCGAGTATTTTATTCTTCCTTCACATATATATCATTACTCACTCTCTATGAGCGTTTTTTTTTAAATTACAGAGATTAAAATTTTTAACTTTTAAAGATATGTAATATGTATTATTGATCGGTTGAACTATGTTCATATTGATAACTACGAGCTTATCTAATGCTTCTATCACTAATATCACCCTGCTTTGTCATTTTCTTTACTTCTAATTTATATATCTTAATCTCTCTGAACATCTAGACTTCTTATTGGACCATAGAAGTCTTTACCCTCGACCTGACCCTGATACCAATATAATAACACGTACAACTAACTAAGTTCCAATGATAAATTCAACAAAATAAATGAGTAAGAGAGAAGAAATAACACACTGATTTATAGTGGTTTGATTAACGTGATCTACATCTACTGTGACGACCCATCCATTCCATTCATATCACAAAGAGCAACAATAAAATACATGGAGTATTCTCAACAACAATGAGCAGAAAATTTACAGCAACAAAATCCCCTCACCCAGCTAGTAGTTACTCACATTCAAGATGAATAATAGTGAGAAGAACTACCAAGGGATTTTACAAAAGAAAACCACCCTCTCTCTTTCTGCTTTCTGTACTGCCGCACAGGAAAACCAAAACAATCATGTGTTGGAAGCGTGTGATGGACACTTGATAATTTAGGATCAACAAGACTCGTTTGAGAATAAAACAACTTCACTTGTATTGAAATTTCTCACAAAATACACACTTGGTTCACAAACTCTCTCAAACTCTCTTGTTTTTCTTCTCCGCACACTTGCTTGAAATACAACAAATGAACATTCTATTTATAGGACTCCATGGAAGAATCTAGATCCATAAACGTCCTATGAACCTATACATACATGAACACACAATTAACCCATCTTAAAAAACAAAATACATGAATGTACTTGTTCAAGTACATGTATCATGTATCTAAGAATGTATATGCATAATATATCTAGAATATGTATTAACATGTTTAATTTTCAACATCCTGCTGATATTTTTCTTTTTCACCAAAAAATAGGTGCCCTAGCTAGACACGTGGGAGCTTTTTTTGTTAAAAAAAAAACCTTGCATTGACAACAAGCCCACAAATTAATTTTTCAGCACATGAAAAGATGGGCATAATTGAACCCATGGCCGAACAAATCTCCACCTAGCTGAAAAACTCCACTCGCTAAGAACTCCCCACCTTGGTTCAAGAATGAATGAATGAAACGCCACTTATTTTCTGATTCTGAAGGTTACTGTTTTGCTTGCTTCTAATTGAACCAGGTTCATACATTTCTCAAATTTTCTGGACGACAAAGTATTTGTAAATGCATCAACAATGTAGAAATCTTCTCAAGAACCACAGTTTTCTCAGCAAATACCTCCCTTACAAAGTGTAACGAACATCTACATGCTTCATTCTCTCATGATAAACATGATTCTTTGACAAAT